GGGGGGTTGATCCACCCACAGAGTTCACTTCGACATCTCCACTTTCTCTCCGCTGATATCGTAAAGACAAGACACTCGAGACGCCAAATTAGCCGCGCTGTAAAATCGCCTTGGGGCTTTAGCCAACGTAAAGACGTCAAGAACAAATCCCTCTATTATACTGGAGGTATCATCGATCTTTCAGTTGACTATTTATGAACTTCTAGTCAGTTGGTCTGGCGGGGAACTTTCTTTGTCTTTACAACGGAACATGATCCCGTGGCTAACAGCGGCAATGTTGATGTTGTCAGTGTTATTAACTTTCTTTATGATCAAAGTATTATGGGTAAGTAAGGAGGCTTTTAGCTGTAAAAGGAGCTTACTCGCCAGATAAACTGAAAAAGCACAGAGATTTGAGGGTCTTTTTTGTCGTTGTCGTTGTCCTTGTCGTTGTTGTTGTTGTTGTTGTTGTTGTTGTTGTTGTTGTTGTTGTTGTTGTTGTTGTTGTTGTTGTAGAGTAAAGAGAAGCACTCCGACACAATAGTGGTCATTTAGTGCTGGGGTAAAAGTAAGAAAAACAGGAACAACAGAGGGAATGACTTACATGAAGTGCCCTCAAACCACCCGCATAGAGAGTTTTTTAAAAGAACAGATATGGGGAGATCATAAATAGAATGAGGGATGAAGACGGTGTGCACGTAAGGGAAAAAGAAGATAATTGGTGCTTGAAACACTAGAAAAAGAAAATAAGCAAAGAAACCGATTGCAGTGAGAAAGAGAGAGTCAGAGAGAGAGGGGGGAATAGCAAGAGGAGAAGGAGGGCAGAAGGAGGAGGAGGGGGAGCAGGGGGAGGAGGAGGAGGAGGAGGAGGAGGAGGAGGAGGAGGAGGAGGAGGAGGAGGAGGAGCTCTCTCTCTCTCTCTCTTATTCGCACTGTACAACGAACCGCCTGCTGCGGAAGTAATTCAGCATACATTATGTCCCCACAACTGCCCACAACCGTACGGAAACTACTAGCCCTTCAATCCCAGCATTCACGACGTCCGTGGCCCATCTATCATTTTTCTCTCCCATGTAGTATGTCCATCTGGTCAGGCTGTCAGGCAGATCGTAAAACTAGGTAAAAGGTCATAAAACACAGCTGTGACGGAGCTAGACTGTTCTAGCCTCTCTGACGACTAGGCGACAAGCTCGCCCCCCTCCCTTATCCCCCCTCCCTATCCCACCACCCACCCACACACACACACACACAGGCACAGCCCTACCTCCCAGCGTCCTAACACCCTTCCATCCGCTGAAGGCAAAAGACTTTCTTTTTATTTCAACGTAGGTGTTTTAACAAACAAAAAAACACACACACACATACACACACACACACACACACACACACACACACACACACACACACACACACCAAACAAGGAATAATAAATAAAAAGAAATTGTCACAATGCAGATCATTTAGGAGGCAGATTCCAGACCCAGACTGTCAGAGCCAACCCGGGCTAAGGAAGAATACGTACAAAATTCCGGCAGAAAGACCAAGATGCTCGATAAAAATGTTCTTCCCAATAGCGAATCAAACTGGTGTCTCCTGCGTGCGACAGTGAAGTTCCTACCCTCTACCCCACAGACACCGCTGCCATAGAACTGATTTAGTTTTAGTAAAAGTTTTACGGCACTTGCAACACAATAAGGTTATAAAGGTGCCGAAAATTAGAGGTGTTACAACACAAAAAAGAGGAGGAGAGAGAAGGACGAAAGATTTTGATAGGAAAGAAGAAGCAAACCACACCAGAGCACCCGCCACCCACCCACATAATGTAGAATTGGTGAGACGTGGATAGAACACAGACCAACCAAACACGGATTTCAGTGATCGATTGCAAAGAACCAAGACCAAAACCCAAAACGTTTTTTTTTTTGTTTTTTTTTTGTTCGTTTGTTTAATTGCTTTTCTTATTTCGATTCAGTAAGAGTATTACGGCCCTTACAGCACAGGTGTGACAAGAGAGTAACAAACACAAAAAAGAGATATAAGGACGATGGATGTTTGCTAGGAAAGAAGGAGCAAAGCACACTAGACCACCCGCCAACCACGCACCAAAACGTGTTATTTAATATGTCTCTATACCTTAGGGGCTTGAGATGAGAAACAGGGAGTAGACAGCAATAGCTCAGACTGCGGCACGTGGCTTACCAAATTTAATTAACAGTGCATCAAAAATCTGATTTCTCTTCTTTTTTTAGGGGGCAGAGCAGAGAGAAATCGAACTTCCCAGCTAACATGCTGAATAGACTGCATTGCGGTAAACATTCACGGTGGGG